AAATTCTCAGACTTAAGTATGTTTTATAACGGTGGACCCTGAATGTCCCATTTATCGGTTTTGTATAGAAGATCTATATTTCAGGACGACAACCTTCTATAAAACTTTTAAACAGTTTGACTTTTAGTGAGGCTCTGTGCAATGCTGCTATTGGGCAAATATCACCATACTATATTGGTCCTTGATTCAGCCCTTTTCACGATTTTTAGGGAATCTGTTTCATCGATTACTGTTCTGTATCACCATCTTTTGCATTACTCAATGAGCATCAAAACTAATGCTCTCTGTCGTGACCAAAAGCTTTAACGGAATGGAGAGGTACATGGGTATATCCCCTGCATTAAATGTGGTAATTATTTTTGGTTATCGATATATCATATTAGCATGTTGAAATTAGCTTATCTATGTTTCGATAATTTGTCGTCTGATAGAGTATGGTACATTGAGTGTTATGCAAAAAGTAATTTTTGATCTATGTGCGGACAACTTGTTGTGAGGAGTGCCTGACTAATACAAAGAGAACACGATTTGGTAATATCCATGGTCACGCTTCTTGTTAAGTACATCTTATACCATATTCCAGGTCATAGCGAGCTTAGTACCAAGATTTACAGAAGGGAAATACGAGCATAATATAAACGATGGTTTTCTAACTGGTTTTTTTTGTTCCACATTCCACACACAATGGAGCGGAGAAACAAAATAATGACGTCTCAAACGGTTTTCTAAATGTGAGAAACATCAACAATGCATAGGCGTCGGAACCTGGGGGGGTTAGGGGGGGCTTAGCCCCCCACTTTTTTTCCAAATATATACTTAGTATAGACATTGAACATATCTTGGTAAGTTTAGCCCCCCCACTTTCCGCAGGTACGTCTTAGTATAGGTTAAAATTGGTAAAAGTGTTGGTGTTTGGAAGAAAATTTTTGGTACTGAAGTTCGAACCTTGCCCCCCCCCCCCCCCCCCCTCACGAAATTGGTTTTTCGAATTCGGGCAAGCCCCCCCCCCCTTTTTTTTTTTTTTTGCTTGTCAGGCTTTTTTGGAGGTACAAAAAAATTTTTCTTACACTTAGCCCCCCCCCCCCCACTTTCAATTTGCTTCCGACGCCAATGCAATGTACTTCAAACATACCGGAAACCTAATTGAAATATATTTTTATTTTCATGGTCTGTATTTGAATATTAAATTGACGCTGCAGTGAGAAACTATTGGTATATATGATACACCTCTATATACACGGTCTATCCTATGCTGCCAAATTGATTCAACTTTCATATTCCCACCCTTTCCTCTACCCTCACTCAACGTTGGTAATCCGTGGCGAAGTAACTACATTAAAATGAAAATTACTTATTTTAATGCTCCTAAATAGAAATGTCACTCTGGAATTTATTATCAAAACGTATATCTAATCTACAAGTCCAATAAAGGTATCTATGCAAATATAAATTCTGTTGATGGCTTTTGATATATGACCTTGAAATTATTGCCCTCAGTCAGTAGGTGTAATTATAATACACATATTAAATATGCCACTTTTTAAAAAAAAATTGCAATGTAATGTTAAGAGTCTTTTTTTCCGAAGCTTTATTCACTTTTTTTTATCCCCTCAAAATGGAGTCAGATGGGATAGGGTATTACAATCGTGTGTGTGATGGGTTGTACGCGCTTTAGAGGGTGTGTATGTGCGTATAGTTTGTTTGTGGTAATGTCCTATTCGAGACAGAATTAAAGTAATTTGGATCAGAATCGATGTCAAATGGGGTCTTAATTTATAGATATGATCTTTGTTAGAGTTTGCTCTGTTTTACAGTGCATCTTCTTTTGGTTTACTTTTCTAGTGGTCCTTGCTTTTTTTTTCGATTAATGTCTTTCTTCCTGCCACAATTGTTTTGAGTAAATTAGTGTAATAGTCATATTAGACATATATACATATTTATATATATATAACATGAAAACAGAGAAATAATTCCTATGTTGAAATCAAAATTATTTTCCGAACTGGAAATATGAATTACGGACATATTAAATATTAACATTAATGTTAACTTAATATCACTTTTTTCTATATAGATTCAATGTATCATATTTACATTTTTATGCTCAATATTATATTTAAAGAACCAAAATATTCGCAGGCACATTTTATTATTGATATTTTTCCGGTCCACTTACCTTCCTGGTCCAAAATTGATACCCGCTGATTGGTGTATGGTGCTTCAATAGAAAGAACAATGACATATTCAGAAAGACAATATCTTTAGCTATTATTTTGTGTATATTCTAGTAATGTGACAATGTAAACTTGATAAGCGATTTCTCAGTAGGGGAGAGGGTAAAGTTCTGAAACGTTATCTGTACATGTACAAGTGCAGTCTTAAAAAGAAATAATTATAATCAAGTTAAGATCATTTGATGAAATAGATCAAGATTATGTTTATTTTTATCTATCTAACACATCTAACATTTTTTAAAATGTTTAAGAATATGTTAGACGATCACATCTAACAATTGTTTACACATTGTTTGCAATAATAGTTCTGAGGTATCTTAAAACCATAGGATATCAAAATGTTTATCAAAAGTCTTGCATTTCAGAATGCCGATTACTTTACCGGCTTTTTCACCTTTCAAAACAATTTAAACAACTAGCCCCGTTCACTCTGTATAAAGGATTTTTGTAAATGAAGAATACAGCATGTTAGTGTATGAAATAATGTACTTCATATTTGAGATTCTTTAAATCATTTTGTAATCAGCGCTGTTTCCCTTAATTATTATAAACTAAAAAAAATTTTCACAAACATTGGTAATTATAAATAATATCTCTGCCTGCGAAATAAACCTGAAAGTTAGAAAATAGTTTCAGATTTCAAAGCGCCAGTCCATTCACACTCAAACTTGATTAAATCTTTTTGCTTGTTTCTTGAAACCAGGAAGTAGATCTCTAAAGTCGTCACGCTCTACATGATAAAAAATACACCATTTAAATAACTCGTGTTTCAGGTTATCTACCCTAACTGTCGAGCTCGGGCCTAGTTCACCATCTTTTTGTGATTTTAAATAAAGTGTCCAACAGGACTAGTACTGTAGTAATAGTATGAATAAGAACATAAAAACGATGGGCGATTGTATTTCACATAAACAATTTTAAAGCCTTTTAAATTTAAGTGTTATTTAAAACATTGCAGTAGTCGATATATATTTGTGAGAAATACAAGATGTGAACTTTATCTTGAAAAATGGTGGAATACAAGATAATTTTGTGACGAAGATTATCACTTAATATATTTCATGTATTAACAACATCAATTCTGTTATTGTCCCCCGCTTTTGTGAAAGCGAGGGGACATTAAATCCCATTCGTCTGTCTGTCAATCTGTCAGTCAATATGTCTGTCTGTTCCTTCATAACAAAACTTACTTTAAACTTGCTAAAAACTATTGATTGAGTGGAGCTATGAGTTTCTTATTTCAACGTGTATTGCTTTTAACAAGACCTTTCTTTGGGTACTACCAAATTTGACCTTTTGACCTTGACCCTTGAGTTTGACCCACTTTTACATATATACTTTAAAAAATTTTTACTTTAGCCATGACTTTTGAACGGAAGATCCTAGAACTTTTATATTTCACATATGTATTTTTTCTGGCAGGACCTTTTATTTGATATCAACAACTCTGACCTTGACCTTCGAGATTTCTGTACTTATGAAAAAACTTTAACATTGGCCTTAACTTAAAAATGTTAAGAGCTAGGGTTTTTATACTTTACATATGTAATACTTGTGAGGAGTCCTTTCATGGGAAAACAAGAACATTGACCTTCTTACATTGACTTTGGAGTTTAGCCCACTTTTTAAAAACATTAACCTTGGCCATAACTTTTGAAGGGTTAGGGCTTTGGCTTTCATACTCCAAATATTTAATTATTGCGACAAGACCTTTCATTGGATATCGAGTAGTTACATCCTTTGAGCTTGAACTTTGCATTTGTCCTAGTTTTTAAAATCTTTAACCTTTGCCATAACGTTTTAATGGTCATACTTCACATACATGTAAGTAATACTTTCATTGGATACCAAGAATTTTGACACTTTCACCTTAACCTTGGAGTTTGACCTACTTTTTAAAATGTGGATACCAATATATTTAATTTGCATATAAGAAAAGTTTAATCTTCGCTTTGTTGCCATACAGGGTCATGAGTGTTTCACAGACGCATTTGGTTCCTTTAATCTTTAAATTGGGAAGAGATAAGGCTTTCATATTTGACATGTGCATTACCTATGAAAGGTATTTCCGAGTATGGTATGATTTCTGACTTCTTGACCTTGGCCTTCACGAATGACCTTATTTTCTTTAAAAAAAATCAACTTTAGTGATAATTTCTAAATGACATATGATAGGGCGTTCATATTTGACATCTCACCCACAAAGACACCGAAAGCGGGGAGCACAATTCTTTGAATTTGCTAATTGACAGATCAAAATTGAAGCAACAGACGGATCATTTTAGTAAACAGAAAAAAGACTGAAACTTGGGTTTCCAATGAATTTTTTTGTAATGAAAAAAATATTCTCTCGGATTCAATTCAAAAGAAAAATAAACAAATGCAAATAACAAATTCTACATCATAAATAAAGGCATCATACAATGCAAATGGCAATTATAGATGCCAATGAAAAAAAATACAATGCAAATGAAAAACTCTACAAAACAAAATTTAATGGAAAAAAAATATACAATACAGATGAAAGATTATACAATGCCGATAAGAATTTTACAATACTAATGAAAAAATATACAATACAAATGGAAGAGATCGTACAACGCAACGTTTGTCATGCAATGTATGTCTTGTACAAGTCTTGGAATAAACTATACATGAAGGGAATAAATAAAAGGTAGAAAATTCAGGAGATTTTAGAACAAATCCTAATTCTAACAATTCAATGAAAATTCTTGTCTCTGATGATCTCATAGATGTATCAACAATGCATCGCAGCATCTGTTTAATATTGATTTCCAGTGCTTAAATGAAGATATTTTTTCTTCAACAATATACATTCCAATAGATATTTTTCGATTGGAATTAGATAATCAATATCCCAATATTTCAGCTATTGAAAGAAATAAGTACGATATTTCTTCGAGCCTGTATTTCTACGTTATCTCTATCTTTTATAAAAAAGAATTAATCATACATTCAGATTAAAATGTCAAAACTTAAAAATGGGTCAAATGCTCGTTTTGCATTGATCAAGGTTTGCATATATATGACACAAGTACCTATATATCAGCGATAGAAACGTTTTTTGAATGGTGTTTTTTTTTTTTATTTGGGAGATGATGCTCTAAATAAAAGTGATCTATCCTTCATTCCATTGCCATTAAAAACATCCCTTAAATCAGTTGTAGATGAGAGCTGTTGGACGCCTGTTGAATAATATGAGGAGGCAGATGTCGGACGGGACGGCAAAATGTCTTCTGGGAGCTTAGTGTTCTTTGTTATGAAGTCGATGGATATTGAACTTTTCTTTGTATTGTCTGATCTGTCTGGATATTGAATATTGTTTTCCTGAATATAAGGGTCGTCAATGTTTCCTTGCCTATTCAATGAAAAACGAAAAGTGAATCAATAATGCCATTTATACAGTGTATAACTTTGTATGAGAAAAAAGATTAGTTTTCTTAACATAAACGTGTAACATAATAACATTCTTATATCATTTAAATAGTTAAGTTGGTTAATTTTTTTTTACCTTATGCAATACTTCTTTAAAACCACCCCAGAAACAATAAGTACAATCATTCCACAGACAAGACATGATGCAATAATAATTGCCTGTTTCTGATCAGAGTCATTACTTGTCTGGGGAGTAGATAGAAATAAAGATGAAGGACTATCAGAAGATTCCGGTGTCCATTGTGATTGTGTAGTTAGAATCTTCTCCGTTGATGCTTCCGTTGATTGGGGTTTTGGTTCTACTGAAGATTCGGGGGAAGTAGTACTTGTTGTTTGGTGCATTTTCGTTGTCGAAGAAGATTTTGACGACGATATCAATGATTCTGATCCTGCCGTTGGTGAAGTGATTGTTGGTATTGTTGTTGGGGGTTGCAATGATGTTGATATTATGGAAATTGTCATTGGAGATGTTATTGATGTTGTTGGTGTAGTTGATTTTGTTACAGGTGATGTAATCGTTGCAGATTTTGCCTGCGCTGTTGTTTGGGATGCAGTTGTTTTTTCGAGGATTTTTGTTGAAGTTGTTGTAGTTAGATCTGCAGTAGGTATGGTCGTTTCAAATTGTTTTGTGTCCGTTGAAAGATTTGCTAATGATGTAGGTATTGTTGATAGTGATGTTCTTGTAGTTGTTGGTGCAGCTGGAGCTTCAGATGTTGTTGTTGTTAATGGTGTCATAGATATATCAGATGTTGTTATTGATGCTATCGGCGTTGAATTCTGCGTTGAATTAGACGCTAGAAACAGACATTCTGTAAAAAGAGTTTATATCTGTTTCTCAGATAAAGTTTTGAAATTTGTCATCATATGATTTTTAAAAAAGTTTACAGGATATTTCAATCGGCCGAAGGATTTTTTTTTTTAACTGTGAAATCTGAATGATCATCTTCTATAGAGCTTCATCAACATTTTTGTCTCATAAGATTGATACGATGAATAAGATTAAAATTAATACTACTGTAAACCAACATTTATTCGTGTAATTTTTATTCGCCAAACGTCAGTTTGAAATCAATTTGTAACAATTAATTTGCACAGTGTCGAAACATTACTCTACAAATACTATGCAAAATGATTTGATTTATATTTACGAGTTTAAATATGTCGCGGAACTTTCGGATATTTCTCGCAAGGGAATAATATTTGGTTTAGAGCAATTAATATGTTAACTGAGTTTAAGAATTTCAAAGATCATATTGTGCCCAATAGACGTTAAAACCATGATACAATGTAACAACAACACTTTCTTTTGAAAACTCGGATAAAATTGATTATAATATTGTTTTTAGAAGTTGTTACCTGTGTTTTCTGTCCAATCAAATGAGTTTACAGACGTATTACAAACAGAACAATAATCAAATTCTTTTGAATCTCCATCCGCCACACAAGAACTAGTGCTGTTTATAAAACAATATCCATTCTGAAAGGTAAAAATATTAATATTGTAATTGCTATTCGTGTTATTATCGTTTTACTTTCCTAAATTTTTAAAGCTTACTCTGGCTAATATTGAATGCAGATCGACGTTAAAATTTACAGGTAGTTGATGCTGAGATTTCTTACAATGTATTTATTAAATGTTAGTTTTTGGTACTGTAAAAAGACCAATATCAAGAAAACATTCCAAAGTGAACAATATTGGGGTTTTTGTTTTTTGTTATACATCCTTTTTCCTGTACATGATAGGAGAAATGGCCTTAAGCCGGTTTTTAAAAGAGCAAGAAGAAACACAAGAGATTTAAAACGTATACAAACCTTAAGGGTAAAGTAAACATGACCACTATCATTGTGATATTGCTGACAAACAGAACTGTAAATTGTCACTTTGTAATCACTTGTAAATCTTATGCCATCTATTGTAATGTTTATGGTGAAATCAGTGACCCAATAGCCTCCGGAGGAATTTCTAAGTTCACAAGAACCAAGAAATAATGTCTGCTCCTCGAGGCTAGCCATATAAAAATCAGATGATCGTAATGAGTTGTCCATGTTTCTCTGAAACAAAATTAAAAAATTGAAAAATGACTTTAAAACATTGAAAAAAAAATCAATCAAAAAACATGTAAATCAAGGAAATGAACTAGAATTACCTCATTCCTCTCTGTATAGCATACTGCACCCATATTCTCGAGAAAATATGATCCTTGAAAATAAAGTGCGTTACATTCATGACTCCTCTGATCACAAAAGTCATATGAAGTTCCCGTTATCTGTGGGGGTTCACTAGAGTCAAAGGAACAATCACTTCCGGCAAATCCCTCGTGGCAGGTGCATATTCCTGGAAAATTCATTTTAATCTTATTTTTTAGCTTTTCATTCAATGAAACACTGAATATTAAGAATGATCTTGACATAATTTCCTAGGTTTAAAAAAATATTAAGCCCACACACTTTTGAATCGAAATAAAATCTGTAGTTTTAAAAAGGTGATTTGATATATTTTTGGGACTGTGCGGCATAAAATTACAGATTATTGATCCGTTTAACAGTGAAATAAAAACATTCAATTTTGGATAATGTTTAATTAAATGTTTACCGAACAATTCTGCTGATGTCAAATGCAAAATTGTATTCCCAATTTCCATACCATCATGTTTTTACCTCAAAATTGTAGGCATAAATGCATACCCCTATTAATGGTATTGTGATTTACATCTAATACTCGCTGTTGCTTCGTCTATTTAAAGGACGTAATGTTTAATAAATAAAATGGAAGATAAATATGTAAAATCTATGGTCTGCTTCTTTTAGAGATGTGTTTCCAGGCCTTCCTGAAAGATTTTCATGATTGGGAATGGGTATTAAATTGAAATTTAATTTATGTTTGGTTTTGTGATATTTCTAAAACGCTGAAAATAACAGCTAATTCGATTGTACCACAAACCGATCGTTGAATGAATAGAAATGTTTACAATAACTATATGCTAACATTATTTTACTTCGAAGACGTGGTTCAGGGCAATCTATGACCGATATTAAAAACTGTAAAAAATTAAAACACTAGAACATATGCATTCTCAAAGTTCGTCTAGTATGTAATGTTCACAATACCACAGCTTCAATGGTTAGGAAACAAGAAACTTCTCTTAGGCATTTGAATGGACAGTCATGTTTTTTTTTTTTTGTCATCAGAACAGTTTTCGCGATCACATGTATTTTTAGCTCATAGCATTTTACAATTGTATTCATATTTTATACATATTTTTATTAATCAAAGGAAAGACTTGTAGTAAAGCTTTGACCTAGAATCCCGTATTTTTCAGGAAACTAAATTGTTTGTAATTGTGAGCATAGAAATACTAGAATAAAAATATGCATATTGTTTTTCTTTTGAGAAAACATTCAGAAAATGTTCTTTGTGTCCTTTCAATCACCAGATACTTGTTTGTTCCAAACATGAAATTTCTTTAGAATCCATAGTTACCAACAATACGATTCATAATCTAGTTCAGATGTATGTTTGGTTATTTTAAACCATGTTGGTGCCTCATTTGCTGATCTTACAGCAATAATAATCCAATTTTTATGAAAGTATGTTAATCCAAAAAACATATTTAATACATGTCTTAAGTATTTGAAGTATATAAGTATAACAGTTTGTTTGAATTTAAAAAAGATTGAAATGTGTTTCGTAAGATATAATAAGGTGGTGAAAAATGAACGGAGACATAACTTTTCAGTCTACCATGTCTCCACATGGCGGTTATTTCCGGGAATAATTTACCCTATTTTGCTATTGTCTCCCTACATTTCACCTGAGCTAATTTTCGAGCTAATGTAATATTTTGTGGCTTCATAATTTGCAAAACATAAAGAAAAAAAGGTTTCGAACACATTAGTTGGGGAGACGTTGGAGGCACCAGGAGGAAGCACTATATTAAATTTTCACAATTGTGTCATCATAAATGCGCCTAAAACAGAACAGAATCAATGTCACACCCCAACAAAATTTTTAAATTATTTTTCTTTTCCCTGTTTTTATAATCACTCACCAGCATTACATTGTCCATTTTCACTGCAATTCCCAGGACAACGTGATGTCAAGATATAAGCCACATCAGGCTCTATTGTAGTAAACGTCGTGTTCAAAACGATAAACGTGGTGCAATGCTCCAATGCAGCCTCTATATGAATTTTCGTAATATTATCATCACCTGTCATCTAGAAAAAAATTAAGTGTTAACATCTTTATCATTATGTTATTAAATAAGCTACACCTTACGACTAAATGGTAAATAATCAGATAGAAACTGATAAAGGTCGATATATTACTTTCGTTATCTTTTGTCTGTTTTTAAATTCAATGGCTAAGGCATTGAATAACAAATATTTCATAAATATAAAAATGTTTATTTTTTTATATTCTAGTCTTGTCTAGATGCATCTTACCATTAAATCAAGGATGCAGTTTTCTAATGAATCATTAGAAAAACTTGGTACAGACTGAAGACAGGTTTGATAAGCAGATGATTTATTGAAAGCTTCACTGCAGATCGTTTCAGCCTGTGCGCGAGAGACAGGAAACCCAGACTCCCGTCGACTAACCTACATCAAGAGAAATATCAAAAACAGCCTGCATAATATCAAAATATATGTCATATAAAACTAATAGTATAATTGATTTGTGTTTTAACTTAGTCGCTTCCTTTTATATATTTTATCTTGCCTTATGTTGTTTCTTCTTCTGTTCTGTTTTATCCAGTTCGTATATTGATCTTTTACGTCTTTTATCAAATTTATTTTCACCAAAAATAAAGCATTGAAGTTTTCTTCCACGTTCATAATAACATGTTTTCCCTGCTGTATAAGTACACAGTGCTGTTTTTGATGTTGGGTTACATTCGCATAAAAGTCTGTTGGTGATACTCATCGAATTAATAAATCCATATTCATTAATATCTTTGTCAAAAAGATCTTCATTTGCTTCCACTCTGCAAAAATGATATTATTTTCTTAAGTAAAAACTCTCTTGCTTCAAAATGTTTTTCAAATGCATATCGACCCGACTCTTCTAGAATTGAAAATTATCTTCTATAAAACAATAAAAAAAAATGATGTCTTTCAAAGGTAACATAATTGTTTATGGAAAAAGAAAAGTTGCTAAAGTTTTTACTTTGTATAGTTTCATCAATTTTCGTTGGCATCAAATTTCGTGGATTCTGTAAAAGAGACGTCTTCGAGAATACGTAATTTCGTGGACAAAAGCATTGTCTATACAAATGAATGTCAAATTTCGTAATTCAATGGGCATTTGAATTCGTGGTTTAACTCAACAACGAAATCAACGAAAATTGGTGATCAACGAATATTGATGAAACCACAGTATAATGTTCATTCAGCTTTTGATTTGATTTTCTTTAAGTAAATACATTCCACAAGTTAACCATAAAAGTACTATCAGCAGCTGTTTGTTGAGGAGAGGTGGCGTTCCCATACAAAATCAGCTTTAACAGATTTATTTATAAACAAAAAAACAAAATTAAAACATTGAAGAAATAAGGTATCATTTCCAAACATAAATCGAGATTTTAATACAAAGTGGTAAGATGATCAAAATTCATGAATTTGATTGATTAATTTTAATAAATAGCAACCATTATTTTGGTTTCTAAAGATGATAAACAATGAACCCAACTACTTATATATAAAGTCACATTTGTGACTTTTTGAATGATATATATTTGCATGGGGATAATCATTAATGCATAACTTGTTTATTTTTATTTCAAAACTTAATGCCATACTTTTGACCCATTGGAGGCGCATTATGACATTCCTGTGAAATTATGTCAAACATTTATTGCGTGAGGACAATATTTTTTATACTCTGCCTGTTTTTTTTTTTTTTTTTATTTTTACTTTTTCATTGATATTTCGTATTGTAACTAAAATGAAAAAACAAAATCCAACATTGGATTTTTCTAGAAAATATATCTTACTTACACCCAAGACCTGGAAAAACCATCAGGGTACGTTACAATTGGGTCTGGTTGAGCATGATTACGTCTTGTTAAGTCGTTATGATACGAGTTGTCCAGACTTCCACAGAGACCCTCTGATTTCCCTTCATCAGCTGCAGAGGGATAAATTGTCACATCTAAATGTAATGTACCAGTACCCCAAGGCCATTCTCTAATTGATATCTGAACAGTTGTACCACTTGGTAAATAGATCTAAAAAGTGTTAATGAATGATTTTTCATGAAATCTTAAGCAAAACCCCAGTTTTTGCCAAATAAAAGAATTGAAAGAATGATTAAAGGTTTTTTATTCAATACAATAGAAACAATGCAATGTATGGACAACTTTTGTTACTTATATTTTGCCAAAACAATCGATGCATATGGACTTCAGCTGATCTAGACGTCACTTATAGCTTTTAAACATGATCTTAAGACTCATATTTTTTAGAAAGCATACGACATGTAATTTTTATTTTGAACAAGTTATCGAGTTTTATTGTCCTCAAACTATTTATTTGAGCACATCCTGTATTCTGTGAAATGTTTAAGTTGATCTCAAGTTTATCTTAGTCTAGTACCTTATAATCTTAGCTCACTCTTATGTTAGTAACGATCTCGTAATATAATTTTAGGTTTTATGTATGTACGATTATTGTGTATATTTAACTACTTGTATATCTGAAACACTGCCTGTTCAGCGCCTTAGAGTAATTTATTTTAAATAGGACGTTATACAAATGTCATTATTATTATTATTATTATTATTATTAATATCTCCAATACAATGGATATATAATTATTACATTTACATTTCAGTGTATATGTCCGAGGTAAAATTACAAATATCAATGTGCTTTATTTCCTCGTAAATGTACTGGTTCATCAGTTAGGCGCGAATAAAAAAAATCTCAATTAGGTCGGGGCAAATACAGACAAGAAACGGGGCTTGTAGTGCGTGGATTGGCTGAATCAAGAGCATGTAGATATTGGGAATAACTGTCAATGTTTTTCAATTTTATGGTAATCATTCTATTGGATTGCATGATAATTTTATGTGTTTATCACTCGACAAGCAAATCGATTGATCACATAATAAAATTGAAAAATAACAATTATTCCTTAAGTGATTTTTAAGAGTTAATATTATTTGAGATATTTTAAAAACTGAAGTTAGCCAATGCATACAAATTGCATTTAAATAGCACGTGTTGTTTCTCTATAAAAGGGTAACACGTTACTAAAAAGATTTTTTTTTCTCCCTTACTTAAAAAAAATGCCGTCGCTCGTCATTGTCGATGCTTTGCAAAGTTTTTACATTGCACTATCTCAGCTGCGGATCTAGATCAAAATGGTGGCATTATCGATAAAGTGCATTCTATAAAATAAGACAATATTCATATTACCTTGTAGAGTTTATCTTGTTCTCGGACCACTTTCATTACTTCGTCCTCACATAAAGGGAAATTGATGTAACGGTTGCCTTGACAAATGTCTATCGTAAAAATCTGTCTTCCAGCTCGTACAGCAACTGCACATATACATCGTGGAACTGAATACCAACGGTGACAGAGTCTGTGTTTAACATGAACCTAAAAAAATAGCAGTAAATTATATCATAAAATATGGCAAGTCTTTGTTTCAAGTAAAATATTTTAACTTAAAATATCTTATATTCACACCTCTTGGTTGCTTTCAGTGTTTCTATAAAGGATGAATTTTCCATCAAGCTGACATTCATAACCCCTGCAAGAAGTATTAAAGCAAATATTTATGTAAGACATACATTTATATAAATAAACAAATGTATAATTAACCCTTATATGTATGGAAGATAAAGTACATATAACTTGTGAATAATATACAAAAAGCTTAAAGCACGACATTCGGTTGAACTATTTTTTTTTTTTTTACAATGTTTCCACATTAACAACTCTTTCCTTGTTTTCCCCTTCCGGACATACATCTATCTACCGTACTATAAGATTTGATATAATTTATTAAGAATTCTCATGATTATAAAGACATGTTCAAAATACCGTAAATCTGGAAAATTTTACGTCGATTGTATTTTGCGAATTCGGGTCAAAATGCTGTTGATTAATTTTTACGTTACAAAATTTTGCGAATGACAACTGTTTTGTTTACATTTTCTCATTGGTAATTTATTTTTAAGAAAAATATTTTTGCGAATGCAATGAACTCGCAAATTTGCTAAAAATTTATCTACAGCAAAATTTTCCAGATTTAAGGTATGTACCGGGAAAAAATAACATTGAAAGCAATGTGATGGAAATCAAGCTTGAATTTTTGAAGTTAAATAACATCACATAGTATTAGAAATCTTACAAATTGTCAAATGTTCTCATATGCGGATCTGTAAGGGCCGTGCAACTTTTTCCTTTCCAGCTGTTCTTATCTTCTACCATTTGAATCTGTAAAAGTTTTAAATACATGTATATATTAATACTAGATTAGATTTTCTAGAAAAATAATTAACAATTAAAAAACTGCAATGTTTCAAAGTTTTATTGATTTGTGTTTTTTCTAGTAAACATGTTACTTTGTTGTTTTGGTCTTACCGGGAGATCAGGAAAAGGGAGCTTTCCAAACATATGGCCAACGACGCCACTCCCACTAGTTGACGTAAGCTGGAGCGTTATAAGATGTGGAATATCAAACGCAGCAGTGTTTTCATTTACAATTTCATAGTTAATTACTTGATTCCAATTGGTGGGTGTATCATATTGGACCCTGTCGGGGTACGGAAATCCTTTAATTTTTTTGGAGCAGCTGAACCCATTAACTAAAGCTCCATTGCACTGCGTAGTTTTAGCAAACAAATCTAATTCTACAGGAGTAGCGTCTAATACTATGTTGCCTAGCATCAGCGTATCTGTCACGAACGGCACTGTTGGCTGTAACTTTATAAATGCTCTGCCTCCTCGATTCATAACAATGGGGAGCTCACTCAATATCTACAATTGATAAAAAAAAATAGAATGTGAGGATTTTTTTGAACTTAAGCTACTGTTATTGAACGTTTGTAGAGATAAAAGCATGTACATTTTTTTTTTAATTATTATTGCATAATGTTGTTAATACCTATTCGAGATGAAAAGAAAATGTAATTTTCATTGACATAAAAGCAAAGATATGATAAGGATGTCCAAAAAATATCAAGCTGTTCTCTGAACTACTTAATAGATATAAAAGATTAATATTACGTCAAGTTACTGTTTACTTAAGCTGACATGACGTGAAAGATGACAAAAAGTTAACATTCATTTCACAGGGCATTTAGATTTTTCGGCAAAATATTGAATGTAAAACGCTCCCTTTATACATCCATAAAAGAGCTTAGAATTTATGAATCGTCTTAAGGTTTGACTGGTACAAATGATTAATAAGAATCAATTGTAGGAATTCTATTTGGATCTACAAGAAAGTATGTCCTCTTACTAAATTTTGCTGAGGAATTTTATCTTGTTCATCCATTTTTGTGAAAGTGATATAGAGTAAAAGATAAAAAAACACCCCTTCTTACGTTGGTAATTAAAAAAATTGTACGATAATTTCTTAACAAGTAATATTCAGACTCCCCTAACACTTTATATGTATTGGAGATCAAGATCAATAATTGATCTACTTAACAAACTTTTCACAATAATTTTGTTTTGCACTTATGCCGATTGCAATTTTTGTGCAACATTTAAGGATATTGTAAATTTCTGTCACGTAGTCAACTATGTCATATAACATTACAAAAATGCTTAATTATAGCACATGATTAAACTCCCATCACAAGCTGACAGCAAACTCAAACAACGGTTACAGATAAAAAGTAATATCTAGCTCAAAATAAAATGTATATTTTGAATGCATTTTAAGCCTTTGTACAGCCTTATCATAATTGCGACTGCACATTTTTTCTTTTACCTTAACTCCTACGAAAAATAAGGGACTCTCTTTTGATGGGCAGGATGTTCCTGTAGTGGACCCCATAACTTCAACGGTACAGTGCACCTTGATTGATAAAAGGTTAGAAATTATTACATTGTACCTATCAATCATCTGTATTATAGATCATTTTGGCAAACGTATAAATATTCTGGATAGGTTTTCAATTATCGATCTTCTCAACTTTATACACAAACATTCTCGACGATAGTTAAAGTCCAGGCTTTTTAATATAATTGACAGCTGTTTTTTCATTAAAAATTAGACTCGTTAATTCACATTTTCATTGACCATTTCCAAAATTATTTTGTTAAAAAAAACTTTGATTGTACATAGAATTGATAAAGAGTTGACATCAAACAGATAATTCAGTGTCTGATCGACAATTGTACGTTGTTTTTGGAGAACATAATTTCCAACAATCAATACAAATTTTGTACGTGAAAGTAGAAGATACTTGCTGACCTTCAACTCGACAAATCTGATATATGAACGACGTGTTATCAATTGAACATGGTCATTACTATTCTTCTGTCAATATGATATATCATCACGGACCGTGAGATTAATGAAAAAACAGAGTCTGGCACATTTGTTTGATATTTGGGTATCTTACCCGAAAAGACGGTGATGGTAATCTAACAACCAAGCTTTGTAATAAATGTGGTGACTTTTACGTCTCCATCATCATTTTTCCTTACTTATGCATCAATAAATCTTTATCACCTGCATACTGCGTTCATATATCTCCGTTGATCTAATACGCAAGACACGCAAGAGGATGCTCTACATATGACCAATTTTAAAACAAGATTATTAATTGACAAACAAGATGATGAAGCAGGAATATCAACTGCCTCGTTATAAGTGATCATTTTATAAATTCTACGATCATGACAAGGAGCACACGAAAAGTGTGACCAGTGAGCAAGGGATGCTTACTCCCCGATGGTACATGATTTCACCTCTGATGTTTCGGATGTCCGTGATTCTTTTGTTCTTATTTTGTATTGTTTTGCAGACTTTTAATCTTAACCGTATGTTCAGTTCATTTCATTTTCTACAATGTATAACCAAATCCATTTGATAAGTGTAGACAACTTACCCATACATTAAGTGTTTCGATGTGATTGGCCATTTCTTTTGCCGAAAAAGTGGCTTTATTTCTTGTTGAAGAAGTGACAACCTGTGTTTGGATCTCTTTTTTGTCAATATACCATGTTATTTTATAATTCAAATTTGGAGTTGGTAACGGGGCAAAATTACAAATCAGATTAAAGTAAGGCGAATGACGAACAATTCCTCGATTATTAGGTAGTGAGGAATCCCACATGACATTTTGATAGGAAACGGAGACATCTGTGACTGTTTGAGGAATACCTAATTCAAAACGAAAATAATAAATTTGATACGATATTGATTTTTAGGTATTTCTCAAAATACATAACAAAAAGATCTGGTAAAACAATTATAAGATTAGTAATTCAAACAAAAATCAAAACACAATGAAAAATTTGATCGACGGTGATAACTTCAAAATGAGAGATTAAAAACTCATTTTTGTTATATATCTTACATAACCCTGACAGATTGCATGACTAAAAGATAGACACAGTAATAAAAAAAACCGTATTGAAATTGAAAGATTTATATTGCACATTTTATTTCCGTAACAAAGAGTATGTTCAGAATGGGTTAAAAAGGATTTAAATCGCCCGCGTCTGCTCTTGTAACGCGTAGTAAGGAATCGATCCTTACTCTGAGGGTTCGTATCCCATGGGGGACGTGAAGACTTGTTCTTCAGCTGAAACCGTCAAAACCGAGATCCAGTGTCGCAGTAGGTGCTGGTACTTTACTATTAAATATATGTAAACACTAACTTTTGATAGTATGCATACGCACCTGTAAGCAAGTTTTGTCCAATGTGAAAACCACTTGCAAGCAAAAACTTTTCTTTTGATATACCGTAGAGATGATAAATACTTACACAAGCCCACAATTGTTTACATTTCAATTATATTTAAGGTCAGACGAGAGGTTCATCAAAAGTATTTAAGGAAAAGCAATTGTTTTCTAAGAGTTTGTTTATTTCACATGCATTACAATGTCACTTGTATGCAAAAGAATGCAATGAAGTTGTAATCCCTTAAATTGATGTATAAGGTGCACGTGGTTATTTTTAGAGCAAATGGAGATTTTAATGATACTTACAACCGTCTGCACGTTCTGAAAATCAAATTAAATATTATTTTTTTCAATATATGTTTTTATAACGTTAATGACATTTAAGAAAATGTTAATTTTTAAACAGAGAAATATTGCATTTTTTTTACAGAATAACTTATCCAAGAAAATAATGAATCAAATATTAAACGCTCATGAAGAATTCTTTTCAAATGCAGCATGAATAGGAAACTTACCGAAGCAGTAAGCCGAAGAACATCCAGTTGTTGGTATAAGTTCAAAGACAAGAAAATCATTGCACTTTTTTACACGAATCTTGTGGTCTTTGGCACAGGTGTCACCGAATTCCACCTTACAGGCAGTCACTTCAGCTATAGTATTTGTGACTGTTGGAAGGGGATCTGTAATGATGCATTATAATCAGTTTCAAATCCCTAATAATTTGCCGAGGCTCATTCTTTGCAATACATTTTTCATAATGAAATCTTAGGATTTTGCACTGAAGCAAAAATAGTTGTATCTTTTTTAAAAAATGGCATACAAAACTTTAAAAACATAGAATTTTAAACTAAGCAATCACAATTCTGTGTTCAGAATATCACGTGAAAAGTTAGTTCTTGCTCTTTAGATGATGTACTCAACGAATAAATGCCACCTTATTATCCTGATTTTTTTTTAGAAACATCCAAATATGGTATCCAAATGATAATTTGAATGTTTGTATTTACTATTTACCCTTGATCCAGTATGGATACAAAGTTCCACAGGACAACAAATCTGGAGCTGTTGTTGGCATAACTTTCGAACCAACTGAATACCATTTCTTCACTAGGTCGTAATCGCAAAGAGGTGTAGCATCCATTTGATAGGTTGGGTGTCTTTTGTTCATATCATTCAGTGCTTCAGTTGTGTCACATGGATCTGGAGTCTGCAATTCTAGCAAAAATAAAACAAAAAAACGTTTGTTTAGTAGGAAAAGCTGCAAAAGTGAGGTACATCTACATTATGTGAAATAAATGGAACACAAATATTTAAGGCTTACCTGCATATTGTATACAGAGGAATAGCATTAACAATATGTATGACTTGGATAAGCTACACCAATGGTAGCACACCATTGTAGCTTGTTTTCTGTTATGCGTGAATCTGTAATATATTTCTTTTATGTATTAGTCAAGTTTATTAAAAGTCAAGGTTATTAAAAAAAAGGAATCCCCGAAAATTTCCAATGATGCAACAGTATTTTTGCGCACATTGCATCACAGAAATATTTGTTCTGTAGTAATTGATAGCTGTCGAAAAAGCTTATTATAAACTGAGCCAATTCATGTATATTTAACGTCCTTCAAATGAATACATTACAGCTTTAATTATTGATTGCATGAAACTTAAATTCTTTTTTTCGTATTTAGTCGGTTTAAAAAATATTGGGAAACACAAATATACATTAATCATTGCCCTTCGATTGGATGCTTAAAAACCAATTATAAGATCAAGAACGCTTTACTTCCTTGTCGACAGATATCATCTGTATTAAGTTTAAAGTGCAATTAGATGCACAACTACTGACAATACGCACTACGCAGCACTGTTAAGGCTTAATATAGAACACCAAACACTAACGTATCTCGACGGTATGTACCGTATTGCCTGTAAATGAATACCATCACTTGCTTTTTATATATTTTGTACATGTATTTATCAAAGGCGGATGTATTATCTTTGTATTATCTCAAAATCAACAGGAAAAACCACGAATTTGCCCCCCCCCCATTGCACCAGGGCTTCGTCCTGGACCCGCTTGGGGCTTTCATGTATATGATATGAATAAATATTTAGACAGTTTTACTACTAGCACTCATTTTCTACAGTTATTTTTTACTTCTTAGTTAGATATGAACGACCCATATCGGGTTGTGACTTTGACTGCTGTTGTACAAGAGGATGTACTGACACACACACACACACACCCTGACGTGCGCATGTTTCTGAATTTCTTGTATGCCATTGCATTGACATATGTAATTGAAAACAAAAGATTAAGAAATAAAAAGAAAAGCCAATTTTTTTTAATTCCGCACATTTTACTTGAAATTAAATGTTACATGTTGAGGAATTTGTCCATGCATAAGGACATTTTCTTTTCTAATTCAGCATTCTGGAGAAACCACTCTAGGTAGTTTTCATAGCACATTCTGGCTAGTTCAGAAGTGGACCATTTCTTCCTCAAGGTTTGCTGTTGCTCGATCTCAGAATCCGTATCATCATCGTCAGATAATGGTATTGCTCGTTTCCTATCTGGTTGATAGCTTGTTGATGCGGTATTTTTGGCTCGAACTGTGGTATCCTTAGCAGGTACGCATGCCGTTTCTGGCTTACTCCATGTACATGGAATTTTTCTATAAAAGAAGTCTTAATTTAGGTATTGATTGCGAATGTGCATGTTCTATGTGCCATACGCACACAGGTGTGTGTGTGATGGTCTGTGAGTAATAATTCTGCTAATGTTTCTTCAGAACAACATTACACAGAAAACGAAGGATTGGGTTCCTCTTTGTCTTAAATTTGTGCCGAAAATATATATCTTCCTCGCGTCTCCCTCCTCCCAGCGATAGTTTCAGGATAGAGTCCAGTGCACCAGCAAACCCTGCTATATGGGTCCTAAGAGATACTTACCGAGACCTAAGGTCGAGGCCCTTTGAGTTCTGGATACTGAGTGGTGAGGCGATTGATTCATTTCTAGAATTAATGAATCGAGTTTTTTTATACGTTGAGTTGCATGGAAACATGAGAAATGGAGAGTTAATGAGTTTAGAAAATAGAGTTTTAATGACTTTAATATGGTTCAGGCATTACCCAACTTATCCATTGCTTTCCCTATGCTTAGGTGCAAGTACTAGTACAGCTAGTGTACGCTACATTTTGAAGAAAATATGGTTTATGCTGTGGGACATATTGGCTTCAGAAATTCCCTGGCCAACAGCAGCAGAATGGTTATCCATGAGAGGTCGCTGGGACAACATGCAAAACAAAGTGAGTGCCATAGATGGAACATCACATGAGATTTATATCCACCAAACGGAGCTTCAGCAGTAATTTTAAAGTGGACACAGAAAATTTCACTGTATCCATACACAGGTAAGAATTTAAAATCAAATGTCTCCTTTATCAAAAATGAACATTTGTAAATAACAATTCAAATCTATATGTATACGAGGGCCGTTCATTAAGTAATGCAAGAGACAGTATATCATAATAATTGATGAGGCATTTAATTTTATTTTTTCACAGTTGAAAAGTTCTATGAAAGAGGTACTAAACTCAGAAAAAAATCCATCATTTTTTCTACTGTCTTCGCAAAGAAATTCACTTTTAAAATAAGCATGGTCATTAAACTGAGCTAAAAACTGTTTATAAATTATCACTGCCAAGAAAATGAAAATAACGGTGTATGTGAAAATTGTGCTTTTTACATAAATCGCCGAGAAACTTATTATTTATAATATGATTTTATTTGTAGAAAAAAGTTATCTTTATTGCTGTGTACTTTTCATATGGATACTATAATTCAGAAGGATAAAAATAGAGTCAAAATATTACAATCAATATGGCTGATTGAAATTTGGGGGGACACCAAAAATATCAATGTTATGTGCCACATGATATCTGAAAATTCTAAATTTACATGGAAAGACATCGATAAGATACTAAACACTAAATCATCACAGCATTTTGTAGAATTTTGACAAAGAAAAAAAAATTAACAACATTTCTATCAGATAGGTGCCCTTCTTTCCTACAACGCAGCTAGGATAAGGCTGCTCGTAAAATATCAAACTGTTCAAACTGTAGTTACTTCTCTGAACTACCTAGATATGACGTCATAATAGAATATGACGTCAAGTCACTGTATACTTGAGCTGACATGACGGGGAAAGTGTCATAATTATTACACGGCATGTAGATTTATTATGGGGATTTGTGTTTAATTTAAGAGTAAGTGTTGTTTTTTAAGCTTGTGTGTGCTGTTAAAATGTTTAACATTTGATATTTAAAAGTATCTATTCCTTTTACTTGTCCGATATGCATATATTGAAGCAATAGCAAAAGATTATGTTTGAAACGATCCCCTTACACTTCCGTAGACAGAGTTAGAATTTATGAATCGTGTTTATATTGGATTGGCACAAGTGAAAGAAAAGGATAAATTGAAGATATTCTGCGTGAATCTAAAAGAGAAGTATGTCTTCTAACTGAATGTTGCTGGGGGATCGTATGTAGTTTATCCGTTTTTGTATAAATCGCGATAAAGTGTGGAAAATACCCCTCTTTACGTTGGTGATATAATTTATCGTAAAATATTTTCCTAAGAAGTAAAAATGAAACCTGCACCCAGCACTTTTTTATGTACCAGAGATAACGATTAATTGATCTATGTAACAAACTTTGCACAGTATTTTCTTTTTGCACTTGTGCCGAGGTGATTTTTGTGCAACATTTAAGAATATCAAAAATGTCCGTCACGTGATCAACGCAGTCATCTGACATCACAAAAATGCTTTATTATAATACCTTATTAAACTGTTACCTCAAGTTGAATGCAATTTCAAACAAGGATCGCATATTGAAATTGAAATCAAGCTCAAAATAAACTGTATATTTTTAAGACATTTTAAGCCTTCGGACAGCCTTATCATAACTGCGAAATGCCTTGGAGAAAACCATGCGGTCAAAGTGACAATGGTTAATTTGAAAAAAAAGTTGTTTTTTTAAGAAACAAATATAAGATAAACTTGCTTGATAAATGGCAAATCATAGGTACACTTTTTTATACCCAAATCAAGATGATTAAAAAGAAAATGTGGAATCAAAGAAAAGATGTTCTTTTATTATGTTAAAGAGAAACAAGTGCTCCAAACATGTTTTATTAGTTTTTGGGTACATGTATTTAGAGATATCCATTAGAGCATGTACATAAATACAAAAGAAGGACTAGCAATGGTAACTTTCATGTTCAAATTACACCAAGTAAAGTTAAGCAGATTTCTTGCAAGAGCAGTCCAAATTTAGGTGACCAGGGTATTTTTCCGGTGCCTAACAAGGCCGTTGCATACATGTATAAGCTTATAGAAATAATTAAAATGTCGAAGAAGAAAATGAAGTGAACAGAACTTTCCCATTGATCATATTAGATAGATCTAAGACATTGTGAGAACTTTTTATTCCAAAAACACATGAAAACAGTGAAAGGAAGATTGTACAACTTCAGATATGTCATGGGAAATAATATTCATCAGTGCCTTTGGGGCATCTCTAAAGATGAGTATGCTGGGGTTTTCTGTGCATGGATACAAAGACATCATACAATTGTAAAGGGTAACAGGGAATGGCTTGAAGGATTTAAACTATTAAGAATATGTTTTATGTACTTTTTCATATTTTTAGATGACATGTTGCATTATTTATTGAACGGCCCTTGTATATTTACATTCACTGAATATTTCCACCTTTATTTCTTAGGAAAACTCATTACGTTAATCAGTGCATAAAATACACAAGCCATGTCACCTGTACAGATTTCTTGATCAGTGGCTGTTCCATCAATGAAACGTAAAAAAAAAACAGACGAACACTCACATTGATGAAATGACACAGTAATTGTTATTTCCATTATGAAACTCTTTATAAAAGTCGTCTGACGGGGACAGCATGAAGTTGAAGATAATACAAAATATGCATATCTCAATCCAATATTAAACGTTAAAAGTATTTTTCAATCCGATTAACGAATGGATAAACTAATAGACATATGCAAGATAGAGAGAACCCTAAATTCATTACACATTAATTAAAATACGACTTTTTCGACGGATGCACATTATATTTAAAGAAAGATATGGAGATAACGAACAGTATTCAATCTCAAAGTCCATAAAGCAATATCAAATAAGACAAAGCAATCACGGACCCCTGAAACATCAGAGGTGGGATCAGGTGCCATGGAGGAGTGGGCATCCCTTGCCGACCGGTCACACCCGCCGTGTGCTCCCTGTCATGATTAGGAAATAACGAAAAAAAATTCGTCGCCAATTCAGTGTATAAATAATGGAATAACAGTTGGTATGAAAAAGTCA